ATACACACACACACACACACACACACACACACACACACACACACACACACAGAGTCAAACTAATGCATTAAGTGCACATAAAACACCTGTGTATAATGGGATCTGATTTCCTTTCATCACAGCATTAGGAAGTGCAAAGGCAAATATGAATCATCAGAACATTTGATGCGTTTGAGTCCCAGCTGGACTTTAGAGTGACTTACTCTCTTTAAACGAGAGGCATTTATGCAAACGGTTCCACATTTCAAGCTGCAAATCTTTTTCTGCACTCAATGTCAGCATTGAGATTTTGCTCAAAAATGTGTTTTTTTTGTGGTCAAACAGTAGGAGTTAATAAAATAAAATAATAAATAAATAGTTCAAGTTTAAAAAAAAAAAACACTTGAAAAATATTACAATATGTATACATATATAATACATGAAGTGTTACTGTTCAAAAGTTTGAGCTAACTAAGAATTTTTTTAAATACATTTTACTTTTATTCAGCAACGACACATTAAATTCCTTATGAAAATTAACCATGGTTAATAGTAAGGGTTGATCAAAAGATGACGTTACATTGTTAAAAAAATTTCTATTTCAAATAAATGTTTTTCTTTTGAACTTTGTATAATAATAAAAAGAAGAAGAAGAAGAAGAAATATTACATTTTTGAGCAGCAAATCAGCATATTAGAATGAAGACAAGTAATGGCTGCTGAAAATTCAGCTTTGCATCACAGGAATAAATAATATTTTACAATATATTCAAATAGAAATCAGTTAATAACATTACACAATATTACTGTTTTTACTGTATTTTTTATCAAATAAATGCAGCTTTGGTGAGCAGAAGAGACTCCTTTCAGAAACATTAAAAAATCTTACCGACCCCAAACTTTGGAACAGTAGTATAAATTGTCTAGGATCTGAGGATCTGATGTGGATGTGTGGGAGATCTGCACGTTTGTTCACTCACACTGCGCAGTTCGCTCTTGATCCTGAATAAGACTCTGGCCACAGGGTTTGCCGACTCCGACTGCATCTCCACCAGCTCATCCAGCTGCTTGGGGATCTTAATACGGTTCACCTGCAGGGGGAGACAGAGAGACGTCACGTTACCAGCGCAGTCTGTGTTAGTGGGGTCAAGAGGTCAAGCTGGTTGTGTGTGTGTGTGTGTGTGTGTGTGTGTGACTCACAGTAAAGACTTTCTCGGGCTCTCCGCGCGCACGCATGTTGGTGTCATGAATCTGTTTGAGAACCATCCACGCTTCGTCATGCTTTCCCACCTGTAGATGAGAGAGTACACACATAAAGTCAAGTTTACATACAGCACTTTTCACAATACACATTGTTTCAAAGCAGCTTTCAAGTAAATCATGATGTTAGTGTTTATAAAATAAACAATTTGCTATCACAAGAATAAGTTACATTTTAAAACATTTAAATAGACAACAGTTATTTTAAATTGTAATAATATTTCACAATATTACACAACAAACATTTATTTTTAAAACCCACAACAAAATTACCAAAACGTAAACTAAAATTAATATAAAAATCAATATAAAATTGAAGAAAAATATAAAAATAATATTCAAATAAATATAAAATATAAAAGAATAGTTATAACAATCGTAAAATATAATAATAATAATAATAATAATAATGGTAAGATAACAGAGCTTGGCACACACACACACACACACTCGTTACCTCGAGGTAGAAGCGTGGACTCTCTGGCATGAATGTGAGCGCCACGACCGCAGAGACACAGGGCAGCGCGCAGACGACCACAAACACACGCCAGCTGTGGAACTGATACGCTGAACCCATGCTGAAACTCCAGCCTACACACACACACACACACACACATTCACCAACACTGAAGACTGGAGTAATGATGCTGAAAATTCAGCTTTGCATCACAGCAAGAGACTTCTTTCAGAAACATTACAAATCTTAGTGACCCCAACCTGCTGAATGTTAGAACCGATAACTGCAAACATTTACCTACAGAAAACAGAATAAATGTAAAAAAATTTCATTTGCTTTTGCCTAAAATCACTTGCATATGATGTAAAACCTATTTTTGAGGAAAATGTAGATTTCTTATTGCCCCAAGTGAAAAACACACACACACACACATCTTTTCAATGTAGATCTCTTATTGGCCCAAGTGAAAAACATGCTTACACATATTATTCAACTTTAACCAGTTGCTTGAAATTTGCTGAGAGTAATATGAGATTATTTATGTACAACTTAAAAGCACAAAACACCTATAACAAAAAGTAACGTGGCATTACCAGGGTACAATGATGGTCTCATATAATATTATGTTACTTTGATATACAGCTTGAATGATTGCCATAATTATGCACTATTTACATGATACTCTGAGATACTTCAAAGAATAAAATGGTGATACCATTTATAAAAAAGTATTACCATGGTACCTTGTCAAAAAAACAAAAAAAACATGGTAGTACCATGGTAACATACACAAAATGATTATATTTCCATGGCACCATGTCCAAAATGCTGTACTTTTTATTGTATCATTGATATACTATTTTAATTTTTGATTAAATATTTTTAATTACATTTTATTTTTATTTTTTGTGTTTTTATTTGAAAGTTTTAGTAATTTTGTTGTCTCTTTAATTATTAAATAAAATGTATTATTTTGTTATCTTTTTTTTTTTTTAAATGTCTCTCTCTCTCACTCTC